TTCACTGAAGAAATTCATCATGTAGATATGGGCAAAACCAAGGATATGAGTGAACAGGTGATAGCACAGATATGTGCTTTGAAGAAGTCTGATCTGGAAATGAAACAAATTGCATATCTGGATAATGGCCAGGACACCCCAACTCACAAAAAGTGATCTAGTAAGCCCAAAAAGACAAAAAGTTGGTGTTTAATCATCATGAAATATCAGCTAGAGTCTACTTGATGATCAAAGATCAAACCGAAATATCTTTGGTAATGTTTCTGTCTGAACTGTCAATCGGTGCATCGCTGAACTCTGCTGAGCTCCACTGAGCTCTGTTAAGTACCAAAATGAATGGCTGCAACTATCAATTTAGTCAGCAATCTGAAATGTTTGCAGATCAGATTTCTTCAAGCACATATCTATGCTATCATCAGTTCACTCAAATCCAAGTTTTATATACATACATTATACATATACATATATATATAAATATAAATATATATATATATATATATATATATATATATATATATATATATATATATATATATATATTTACATATATTTATATATATTTATATATATATATATATATATACATATTTGTATATATATATTCATTCATAATTAAATACTACAGGTTTTTCAAGAAAATTATTGACTTACCATTCCAAGACGTCAACATCTTGTCATCCAAATGTGGTTTTGGCCTTTTTTGTCGAATATCATACAGTATTTGGCAACACTTTGTAAGTGCAACTTTACATTCCTCTTCAGTTAGACCAAACTCTTCTCCTGTCTCTTCAATACTAGAGTGTTCAATAAGAACATTTTGATTCTTCAATTCATCATGAGGATCCTGTTAATATTGAAACATTCAAATATTCATTTCAATACTCATTTCAAACACAACTGTTATATACTGTAATTCTCATTTGAACAGAAATGCAATTATCTTCTTAACAGGGAAAATTTTTTTCCACCAAAATGGGCAAACCTTTTCTTAATTACCCTTGTGAACTAATATTATATTTTTTCGATATAAAAAATACTTTTATATATACATATATTCATATAAATAAATATATATATATATATATATATATATATATATATATATATATATATATATATATATATATATATATATATATATATATATAAATATATATATATATATATATATATATATATATATATATATATATATATATATACATATATATATATATAAATATATAATTGTATATATATAAATATATATATATATATATGTATACAAATATATATATATATATATGTATACAAATATGGATATATATACATATATATATATATTATATATATATATATATATATATATATATATATATATATATATATATATATATATATATATATATATATATATATATATATATATATATATATATATATATATATATATATATATATATATATATATATATATATATATATATATACATATATATATATATATAATTTTCATCATCAAGGGGCTAATGCCGACGGGAGTGCATGGTCGCATCCGCCCTTCATTTCCAACCACGTGGGTCCTTCAAGGTGAGTCTTCAGGCAGGCCCTTGGGCCATCTCTACCTCCTCATAGCAGGTCTTATTGAGCTACCCAAGCCATGACCTCATAGGTCATCCCACTGGCTTTCTACACCCAGAAAGCCAGTGGGATGGGTCATCTACAGGGAAACATGCTAGGTGCCTATATAGCCTGAGTTGGCAATCCCGGATTATGTAAGTAACAGGTCCCCTGCCAGTCTCACTGTGTGCCACCTGTCCCCCATGATCCGGCGAAGACACTTATTACAAAAGGCATCAAGACAAGACTCCAAGGTGCTAGATAACATCCAGGTTTCACTTCCATAGAGCAAAACTGGCAGTATCAAGGCCTTGATGACACGTAGCTTGGTCATTCTACATAGGTACTGACATCTCCAAATGCTCTTGTTGATCGAGTTCATGGCTCCTGCTGCCATACCAATCCGTCTACTGATTTCTTAATCTGACAGTCCAGAGATATGGACGACATTACCAAGGTATGTAAAGATCACTGAAACTTCAACATCCTCACTGCAAACATGTATTGACTGAATGGGTTCCCATAATAGGCCCTCAAAGTCCTGAATCTTGGTCTTGGTTGAGGAGACCTTCAGGTCCAAGGGCTTTGCCTCATTGCTAAATACATCAAGAGCCACCACCAGGGACTCAGATAGAATAGCAACATCATCAGCAAAGTCAAGGTCTGAGACCTTGATACTGCCCAGTGTTGCTCCACACTGATTTTGGGTAGTAGCTCTGCACATTATCCAGTTCATGCAGGTGTTGAAAATTGTTGATGTAAGGACACAGCAAAAACCTTGCCTGATATTCTGAGCAATGTAATGCCATGGTAGTTGCTACAGTCCCAACAATTCCCTTTCCCCTTCCAGGGAGGGATAACCATGCCCCTCAACAGGTCAGGGGGAATGGTACCAGACTGC